TTACCAGGCAGTTCTATTTGACGATATATATATATATATATATATATATATATATATATATATATATATATATATATTTATGTATGTATATACTTAGGCAAATGGGTACACACATGCATATGTACCTCCACACACATATATGCATAGACATATTCCCTGTTTACTCAAGTTCTTTGCTTCAAAACTGGGCTCACATTTTCTCTGACTTGGAACTTCTTCAGTCTGGACCCTGAAACTCAGTCCTTCCTTGGAGTCTCATCCATCTCTTCTAGCTCATAGGCCCCATAAAGTCCCTGCTTCCTAACCTTGAAGGGTTCAAGCCAACGCTTGTCCATTTTTTGCGACCACTACATTTCCAAAGAGGAATCGTAGAGTAACACCGTGTGCCAACTTGTAGCGGCTCGACCCTCACTCTAGGGAGTTTGTCCCACCTTTTTTTATCTTTCCCTCGGCTGTCTGCAACTTTCACGACTGCTTCCTGAACCCTTTCTTCAGTGGTGCTGATCTGCTTTGCCCTCATATCTAGTAACTCTTAAAGGGTCAGATTATTCTCCAAGTCCTAGCTACGCCATGTTTTCAGAAAGCTCTTAATTGGAAACGTGGCGTGGCGAATATACCAGAGGGTCGCAGGTGCATACCCGGTCATCCTTCTTACAGTGATATTCTCCACAAAGAATACCGTTCTCATGAATTTGGCCAGAGATTCGGCCTCCCATTGGTCCACTTGGCGAGCAAGTTAGTAATCGTAGTATGGTCTCTTTTGACTGGTGCATTTGCCTGTGGATGAGCCCGAGTTGTGTAGTTACTCATGACTCTCTTTCAATAATCCTTCACTTCCCCACACGTAAATTCAGAGTCCCTGTCCATCGTAAATTCCAGCACGAACGGATACCTGAGATAGTACTCCTTAATGCATTCTGTCAGTGTCACCCCAATCTTGTTCCTAATTACTCTGCCATCAACGAGTCAGTAAGGTTGTCGCTCACGTCAAATATGTAGTTATATCCTTCGAGACTCAGCGGCATAACCAATAGGTCTAAGTGGAGAACCGCCCCTACCTCTTTGATATACCTAGGATGCAGAGGTTCCTTGTACTTGACATGCGATCGTACTTGACAGGGTACACATGACTCACAGTATTTTCGAGTCATTTCAAACATCCCTTCCCAGTAATAGAGTTTCATCGCCTTCTTATAAGTTGCAACGAAACTTCTATGTCCCCCAACTATCCCGTCATGCAATACGGCCACGACATCAATTTGACGATTCCACCCACATACAACTCGTCGAGGCGGCCCCCTCTTGTCCCTAATGAACAAATGGTCACCCCTTACTACGTAATGATCCCTCATCCTGAGAGTTTTCTCACTCACTTCTCTCTCTCTTTTATCTCCTGAGAGGAGTAACCTCATTTCTAGATAGAATCCGTCGTACTCTTCCATTCCAGAATTCCTTCGAGATTATCCCTTGCTCAAATTCCCCTTCTTTCTTTTCATCAAATTCATAGTCATCCCCGATTGCTATTTCATCCGCTTTCACCACACCTCCTTCATCATTCGCTTGAACCTGTAATAGGGAGTTCGTCAAGTAATACATTCTTCCCATCATAGCCACTTGTCTGTCTGCTTGTTGGACTCCTGTTTCGATGTTGTTCGTGGTTCGTCCATTATCCTATAGTTCTTTGCCAAGACTAACTCCATCATTCATTCCGCATTCCTCTCCTCCCAAGAGTCCTCTTGCACTATTGGTGTGAGTATTAGGGAAGGTTCCCTCATAAACTCGGAAGCCGGATACCACATCGGATTTCCTCTCGTCATTTCCTTACTTTCAACGAACATGAACTAACAATTGACGTGAGTGCGCATATTTTCTCCTTCCTCCAAAAACCCATCTACCGGAGGCATTTCTTCCTTAGACTCTTCCTAGTCTTCCCACTCAATTCTGCTCATCCCATCTGTCATATTCTTGTTCCCAGGGATACGTTCCGTCTGAAAGTCGAACCTCTATATATAGGTAAGCCATCTGGCTACGGTCGGGTCTGAGGGTGAAAAATTCTTGAGTGAATACGCAAGCGTCGTCGGGTCAATCCTGGTGATAAACTTCCTCCCAAAGAGGAAGTGCCTAAAGATTCTTGGGCAATGCAAGACTGCCAAGGCTTCCTTTTTGAATAGTGAATAATTTCGCTCTGTTGAATTTAGCGTCCGACTTTCAAATCTTAGTGGCCTCTCCTTCCTGTCATTGTCCGCTTAGATCAAAATGCCTCCCAAGGCGGTTGGCCCAACATTAGTCTCAACTATGAAAGGTCGTTTCATAATTGCGTCAAAAACGGGTACCCCCAATACCAAACCTCCTTCCTTGAACTCCTTCAATTCCTCCACTACCTCTTCTTGATGGTCACCCCACTCCCATTCCTGATCCTTTCGTAGTAGCTTCCTTAGATGTTCCGTCTTGTTGGCAAGCCTTTCAATGAACCTTCTCCAAAATCCACAGGTACCAAGAAAGCTTCAGACTTCTCCTACATTCCTGAAGAGAGTGGGTCATTCCAGGATTTTGTTTGTTTTTTTGCAATCATGTCGTCGACTATACTCGTTTCATACATATCCCAGAATGGTTACTTCCTTCACACAATGCCTGGACTTCACGCCACTGGCAGTGAGGTTGTACTCTTCTAAGAGGGACATAACTTCTCTCAACCCTTGGATGTGCTTTCATAGAATCTTCTGATCCCGGGAGTCACTTCGGACTCATCCTTTTCAATAGGCACTTTGACAGTGAGATCGTCAATGTATGGTTTAGTAATTTGAGGGTTGATCGGCTGCATTACACTGATCATACTTCGTTGCACCATGGCCACAGGGTTGGTTCATCCTTGGGGTGCAACATTCATATGGACTAACCCTCTAGGCGTGTGCATTGCCGTTATGGGACGATCTGCATGAAATTGATAATACCCCGAGTAGAGATCAATAAGTGATACAATCGATCTCCCCGCGCAAGACTCTGACAATTGATCAGCATTAGGCAGTCCCCCAGCGTCCCTCACGGTTACCACGTTTAACCGTTGGATATGGTCTATTATTTATGATACACAATTGTACAATCCCTTGTAATGCTCATCTTTGTGTGATTGGTCATAGAGCAACTATGTTATGAAAAAAACATCATGCGTGGTTGTCCTCAATGCAAGGTTGGCTAGTATGTGCCACTCTCTCTCTCATGCCACCATGTTGCTAAATTTGTGTCACGCAGTAGTGAACCGTGCTTGTAGCAAGGCAGCTCAGCATTTAACTGAGGCTCCCTCACGCGTCCATCCATAGAATGAAGCACAACAATCCTACGGACTCGAAAAGGAAGCTTGGCTACTGCATGCCACTCTCTCTCGCGGACGACCATGTTAGTAAATTTGTGGCCCGCAGTAGTAAACCGAGCTTGTAGCAGGGCATCCCAACATTTAATTGAGGCTCCCACATGCCTTTGTCCATAGAATGAAGTACAACAATCCTACAGACTCGAAAAGGAAGGTTGGCTACTGCGTGCCACTCTTTCTCGCAAACTGCCATGTTGGTAAATTTGTGTCACGCAGTAGTGAACCGTGTTTGTAGCAGGGCAGCTCAGCATTTAATCGACGCTCCCTCACGCGTCCATCAACAAAATGAAATACCGCAATCCAGCACCAATCAAAAACAAAGGTTGGCTATTGCGTACCACTCTCTCTCTTGCACTGCCATGTTGGTGAATTTGTGTCGTCCAGTAGTGAACCCTGCTTGCGGCTCTCTCTCTCTCTCTCTCTCTCTCTCTCTCTGAACCATGACACTCTCTCTTTATCTTCAGTCATTGTGGTCTTTGCATGTCAAGAGTACTGGAAGACTCAACGATTGACATTTGCGAAAGAGCATAGCGTATCGTGCAGCAGGAGAAAGGACGGGAAGAAACCGCGAAAACCGATGACATAAGCCAAAAATGTCGATTTTTTCCCCCAACACAGAACGTAACGTTCTACAAAAGGTGAACCATGTTTCAACACGTTTCAACAAGTTTTCAACACGTTTCGACAAGTTTTCAACACGTTCTCGACACGTTTCAACAAGTTCTTCACAAATCTTCAACAAGTTTTCAACAAATTGTCAACAAATGGTCAACAGATGGACCAACATCCTTTCAACAAATGGACCAACAAATGGACACACCAGTTTCAGCTTTCCCAATGTTTGGTCAGCGTTGGTTTCCTTCACTTCTGGTGGAATACATAACCCCCTCCCGCCAAATAGTTTATAAACACAGTTCCAACGGTTGAAATATGGTGTCAACATGTGATCATCCTGTCAAAAAATTTGCCACAATTTTTCTGTTGTTTCAGCTGAGGCAGAAGCTGCAGCTGCTGCAGTTGGAGCATCTTCAGATGTCATTTCACCCAATGCAGCAGCCTCTTCTACAGGTGCAACAACATTGTCAGTTATTGCAGGGATGTATGTATGTGTATGCAAAAGAGGAGACATGAGGGGAGAGAGAGAAAGAGAGAGAGAGAGAGAGAGAGAGAGAGAGAGAGAGAGCGAGGAGAGAGAGAGTTGTCGGTCCATTTCATTTTAGTGTGTGTGAAAAGCTAGAATCTTTTTTTTTTTTTTTTCTCTCGCTCTCTCTCTCTCTCGCTTTCTCTCTCCGTATGTTGGTGCATTTTGGGTTTGTCAACTTTCTGCCTTTTTCAGTCTATATCAGCTGTCTGTGGGATATTTTTGATTTTTTCTGCACTTTTGCGAGGGGCTTGCCAGGACCACTCTCTGGTGTCGCTAATCTTGTATTGATTGTGGAGGCACTAAAGGGACTACATTATGAATTGCCTTCATTGCTTTGCTTTTTTTTTGTACATATCTCCGTGGATCTTGTGGTGATGGAATTTTTTTTCTGTAATTCGGTTTTCGTGATTTAGATTGCTCGTCGGGAAAGTGGCCCCGGGCAACTCAGGTAGCCTAGTTTTTTAATATTTTATTTTTCAATGGTTTGGTCTTTGTGGTTTTGTGTATGTCTGTCTACAGTGCACTGGGTCAACGAGATTACCTTAATTTTATGTGTTTTTTTTTTACATTATCCTTCTTTTTCATTGAAAAAATAAATTGTGCCCCTTCTGTTTCTGTTTGGGCAGGTTATGTGTTGCCAAAAGTCAATATTTATGCACGATGCTTTGAGATACTTCCAGCTGGTAAGATTCATAATGTTTAATCTTGTGTTGGTATTTTAATTCTTCGTGGTGCGTAAAATTATTGTTTCACATTTCTTTAATTATATTGAATGCAGTGATATACTGAATGAGTGGGTGATACTTATTTGCAAAGCATTTGGAATGCTTGTACTCTATGTCTATGAATCAACAACTAGGAAAAATGGGTTGTCAATGAACAAGCGATGGAGGTGAAGTCAGTCCTCAGATTTGTTACAGCAGAATTGTTTGTACTCTATGTCCATGAATCATCAACTTTGCAAAATAGGTTCTCAATGAATAAGCGATGGAGGTGAAGTCAGTCCTTATATTTGTTATAGCAGATACTGATGTAAAAAACGAGTAATGCTTGTCCCCGTACAATGGTCTGAAGTGGTTCATGCATGATTGGGCATTTTTTGTGTCAACTCAAAGTGGAGAGTTTCAGTCGCTGTCATAAATCGTCTCATTCATCTGTTCCCATTCTTGTCATGTTGGGGTCTGGTTAGCTCTGTACATGCATTAACCTGATGTTGGGGCGCGTCTTTGTGTCCCGGTGCGTCCAAGCCCACCTGTCTGCCCTTCTTTTTGTGTATGTAGTCTTTAGGCATTTGGCCCCATCGCGTCTAGTCTTGGGCATTAGGCCCTAGTGAGATGGATGAACCTAATGATGGGACAACTCATTCTGCCTCCATGTGAGCAAGTTTACTTGTTTGCCCATTGTTTTCTTTTAGTGTGTGTAGTTTTGTGCATTGGGCGCCAGTGGGAGCAAGCTTTGAGTTGCAGTTCGTTTATTCAGTATTGAGTTAGAGTTCGTAAAAAACTTGTCAAAAACTCGTCATCTGACCTGTTCACTTTTGTGTTATTTCTATGCGTGTGTTTTTTTCTTGCGGGTATCGCTCCTTTGGTTTGTGGCTCGGATGTTGCAAAAGGCAAAAAGTGTTGATACCTTTGCACGCCTTTTGGTATGAATGATCCTCGTTCCGACAGTTTGCAAAAATCATGATTCGGGACGAGGCCGAGGATAACAGAGACCGTGAACGACGCGAAGCTGAGGAACTTGCTACTCGGGAGAAAGAGGAGTTGTTAAGGCTGGAGAGGAAAAAAAAGGATTGTCGGAAAGCGGAGCAGTAAATTAAAAAATCGAAGATGGCGCTGTCAAGGATGGAGATGGAGCAACAACATCGTATGCCTGAAACGAACCTATGTGACAAACTTGACGAGGTGGCGAAGGGATCTGTCCGGAAGTCAGCGAAAGAGAAGGAATTGGCGGAGCAAGGACCTGCTGCGAATAAGCGTGAAGCTTTCGTTGTTGACAACAAACGACAATTGAGAGGGTTAAAAAAGGAAGAGGTGCTTGCGATTTGTTCCAAGGAGGGAATCACTTACGCTACTCTGGATCGTGCTAAAGAAGACATTGTCAGCAAGAAAACAGCGTTAGCGTTTGGTGAGGAAGGCTCGGTGGATGTCCCTGATGAATCCATCAGTTCTGCAGATCTCGTGAAGACTGGCGATGGGGAGACTGTTTCTTAGTGTCTATCCCGAGTGCAACGCATTTATGGCATTTGGCTAATTGGTGCAGTAACCTTCGATTTTCTTTCCCTCGCCTCCTGCGTTGTCGGGCTGTGAATCTATTGTTTTGTTTAATTGTGATTCTTTTGATTATGTCTGACCATGTTCCATGGGCTTATTCAAGGATTCAATTCTTCAGTTGATTGGTGATGGTTTGGATCTGAGTAAGTATGGAATCCTGTTGGTTTATATTGTTGTATCGCCATGGTCTTGCCATGTTTATGTCAGTCAAATCCGTAGGGATCTGTGTACACGATGGAATAAACACGTGTTTCGTACACAACATGTAGCTGTCGTAGAAGGAGGGAAGCGTATTGAGCGCTTGTATCGTTGGTTGGGAGGGTGCAAAATTCGCCAATATGTTGTTATTCCTGTTTGCTCCAGTGACATCGATAATGTCGACAATTGTGAGAAGTTTTTTATCTAGCAGTCCTGTCCTGTCTTGAACATCCGTGATAAACCTACCAAACCTAGAAGATATCATTACGGGCTTCGTGAAAGGCTACATGCTATGAAAATAATTGGTAATATTGTGAATGATGTGAATACTTCATGCAATGATCGTTCTCTCGTCAAGTTTGTTTCCAGTTCAGGTGGGTTTTCGGTAAGTCTTGTTCTTGTCTACCGTGGTGGCTCTCTTCTTTGTGATCGGTGAAAGGTACTTCGGAGGTGTTATGGTTCTGCAATTGTTTCTTGTCAATTTGGTCTCCGACAACTATGTAGGGCTCGTGAGTGGTTGATTGGTGGCCTTATCCTCAGCTTTGTCTCTATTACTCCCTTGTCAATTCGTCTGGCGCAGTGAATCATATGTGTGTATTAAATTTTTTGGTTATTTAAAAATTTGAAAACCTTTTCCCTGTTTTTAATTTTTATATGCCACTTCAGTCCATACATGGGGTTAAGGACAACCCCATGTATGGTCCAACAAGCAATCTGAAATTGGTAAATAAACCTGCACTAGGTGAACGGCCTAAAGGCGGTTTCAGAGAACTCCATGTATGCATCCATACGCAATCTGAAATTGGTGTAGTAACCTGAAGTGGTTGAACCGCCTGAAGGCGGTTTCAGACAACCCTATGTATGGACCGACAGACAATCTGGAAGTGTTGAATACACCTGAAGTGGTTGAACCGCCTGAAGGCGGTTTCATACAACCCCATGTATGCATGCACATGCGATCTGAAATTGACACATGAACCTGAAGTGCTTGAACCGCCTGAAGGCGGTTTCAGAGAACTCGATGTATGCATTCATAGGCAATCTGAAATTGGTGTAGTAACCTGAAGTGGTCGAACCGCCTAAAGGCGGTTTCAGACAACCCTATGTATGGATCGACGGGCAATCTGAAAGTGTTGAATCCACCTGACGTGGCTGAACCGCCTGAAGGCGGTTTCAGACAACCCTATGGATGCATGCACAGGCAATATGAAATTGGCATATGAACCTGAAGTGGTGAAACCGCGGTTTCAGAGAACTCCATGTATGCATCTACATACAATATGAAATTGGTGTAGTAACCTGAAGTGGCTGAATCGCCTGAACGAGGTTTCAGACAACCCCATGTAAGTGTCCATAGTGAATCTGAAAGTGGTATACGAATCTAAAGTGGTTGAACCACCTGAAGGCAGGTTCAAACAACCCCATGTATGAACCGACAGGCAATCTGAAAGCATTGGATCCACCTGAAGTGGCTGAACTGCCTGAAGGCGATTTCAGACAACCCCATGTAAGCATCCATAGTGAATCTGAAAGTGGTATACGAATATGAAGTGGCTGAACCGCCTGAAGGCAATTTCAGACAACCCCATGTATGGATCGACAGACAATCTGAAAGCATTGGATCCACCTGAAGTGGTTGAACCACCTGAAGGCGGTGTCAAACAACCTCATGTAAGCATCCATAGTGAATCTGAGAGTG